CATCCATCCATCCATCCATCCATCCATCCATCCATCCATCCAACCACCTACTAATCCATCCATCCATCCATCCATCCATCCATCCATCCATCCATCCAACCCTCTACCCACCCACCCATCCCTAGCCCTAAGCTAACACTAGGTGACTGAATTATTTTAGGCTCTCCACTGCTAAACTCTGAAGACTAAACTCTCAGGAGCTTTGCCTTGCCTTCCCGTGTAGTCCTAGCACACAGCACAGGTTCTTGGAAACAACAGAAATTAAGAAATATCTGAAGAATGAGTGAAAGGACGACCCCCAAGTACATATTCTTTCTTTGGGAAATTTATGTTCCACTAATTCCTTTGACTGAGCCACTCATCTCTTTCCTCCTGGAGTCTCCGAGCCCCTTGTCTTTTCCACTAGGAGCGATTCCTGTGCCCTGACTTCAGCACAGTAAACTTCTGGATCAGGCCATCAGCTCTGAAGCCCGCCGCCTCTGTGTTTCTCACATAGAAAATTAAAACATCTCCATCCACAAATTGTTTTTCTGAGTGCAGGATGTGTCACAGCAGTTGTCTGTATGATGACGACAACTATAAAAGCCCCGCCCCTTGTGTTCATTACTATTTTTTCTTTTAAATGAGAGGGTTCTTGCACTGCCATAACTTCAGTTCTACCTTGTGTCGGGGGTCTTGGGGTGGTGGTGGATGCCCCTGCTTATGTTTCCAGTTCCTTCTTTCCTCAGCAGGATAGCAACAGTGAAAAGATATTAGCTAGAAACAGTGAAATGAAGGCCTAAGTATTCAGGATGCAACGCAAATAAGTGCTTGTATCTATTTTCATTGTCAGAGTTGAGTGGTTTACTGGAAAGTCATACCAAAGCACAAAACTTCTCTTGTGGAGTGGATACTCGGAAGACCACGGTCTAAAATGAAAATCAGTTCACGGCTTAAAAAAAAAAAAAGAAAAAGAAAAATGAAACCCAAAAACCCTCACAAAGTGCATTGTTACACATTGAAAACATCTCGGTGTTCTTTAAATGTTCTGCTAAGAGTCGTGACAGGTCAGTCCCCAGGAAATGCAAGAATAGGTTATATTTTAATCAGCACACATAAAACACTGTCTCGAATGTTATGTCGCCCAGGGGAATGCAGTGAGTAGGGAAAATGTACAAACTCCAGGTCAGTCTCCCCATTACATCACTGTGAAAAAAAATAAATTTATGAGGTTAAATTATATGGATGTTATATATTGGAACTGTTATCCCATTCCCCAGTGAGACTGCTGGCTAAGACAGCTACGTTCTCTGAGAGAAATTTTTAAGTCCTTCTGTTGTGGTTGTTTTAATGGTAACTTTCACCAAAAAAAAAAAAAAAATGAAGACTTATTTTTTGAAGATATGACATTACTAAAAAACAGAACAAAGTCTAACATAAAGAAAAATCCAAATTTCAAAGGAGAGGGCACCTAAAATAGTTACGTACATTCTTCTTCTCTGTAGATGATAATGTAGAAGTTATTCTGTGGAACTTGCCCATGATTTATTTGATCTATTCCTCATCTAAGTGATTGGAAACACAGATGTTGATGCTACAGCTCTGCTTCCAGTAAATAATTCCTCAAAGGACTCACATTTGTTTAACCTTAGTCACAAGATGATAAAACTTATTAAACATTTATGGAAGCTGTGACACAATTCTGTTGGTTTATGTGCTTGGCAAGTTCGGGAACGCCTTCCCCCAACTTTTCCACCTTCTTTTTACCCCTGTGAAAGAAAAGCATCTTTGGGGACATTCCTGTTCCTTGATTACAAAAAGAATCTTTCCCTGCCTTCTTTATTTCTCCATTTGCAGCTTGCTGCAGTTTGACAGTAAGCAGAAGGGTTGCCATGTTGGTCTTAAAGCCTAATAATTAAACCAATGGGACAACAGGCAGGGTGCTCCTGCGGGATCCACAGAGGACGGAGCGAAACCCCGCTGGGAAACTGCTTTCTTAGCGTCCCTTGCCTGTCCCTGAGATAAGCAAACATTCTGGGGCACACTGTGCATGCGCTCATTTATCCATTCAACAAGATTTACTGAGAACTTGCTTTGTTTAGCCCTCTGGGCATAAGCAACATGGGGGGCTGAATATCCCAAAGACTCCAGGAGCCCTGGATCAGTGTGCCTGTGTTCACTTACGTGTGCAACCCTGACCCAAGCTGTGCTCCAGGAATTGCAAAGGCAGTGGTCCCCAGGATTTTGTAGTTTTGGGGGGAAGGCAGACAATGATGGAGAGATTACAGCAGGCCAAGAGACTTGCTTTCCAGAACTATCTGTTTATTATACATGGGCTGGTACTGCTGATTTTCTTGAGCAGGGTACATCTTGTTAGCGGTGGTCATGTTTTCCTCTCACCCAGGGCTGTTGTGGGGGTTGGGGTGTCCCTCGAAGAGGCCCCCTGGCTGAATGTGTTGTGACTCTGGCTTCTTGCTAATAAAGGAAGTCCTAGACAGCTTTGCAACCACTTCTTTACCAGCTTAGCCTTGGCAGGGACATGTGCATCACCCTAGTCACTACAAACACAAAACTCCTCTATAAGTAAAGCCTCACGCATAGTAAGGCTCCTCCCAGGACACAAAACTCACACTCACAACACACGGAATGCAACTGTATAGGAAACATGCATCACATATGGGTCAAACACAATTACAACTCACACCCACAATAGAACAGACCCACAGCACACAAACAATTCAAAATATACATATAACTTACACAACTCATACACACAGGGATGATGGGTGCCCAATGCATACACACACACACACACACACAC